CTCCTCGTTCATTTAAGTGTCACATGCCCACCAGTTTCGACTTTCAAGTCGAGGATTCGAATCCTTATATGAATCCTAGGCTCGGGTCGTTACGTCATTTTTTTAATAAAAAAAACCACTTTATGAATGATATATGTAAATGATTTGTAACCATGAATATTATTTGGTATTTAAAAACAATGTTTTCTTAAAATTGCAATGCTTTTTGTGTTTGTTTTTTAGTTCATTAAGTTAGAGAAAAAGGAGAAGAAAATGACAAAGAAAGAAAAGGGTTTGGAATATCTTTCAAAACAAGTGGCTCTCCATCACAACCTCTAACAAATCCTTTAAATATTTTTTTAAATTTTATTTATTAATAAATGAATCTAATTCTTGTATTTAAAGTCCTACATAAAAACAATATACCTCTCCACCTCAACATTTTTTTAGTAAATTGACACCTTCAATTATCAAAATAATAATAATAATAACTCTACAATTTAATTTATAATAATAAAATTTTAATCCTTTTAATTATTCTTAAATTTTTTATTTTTAATTTATTTTAATAAAAAATTAACTATTTAATTAAAATTTTAAGTTTTCAAATAATATAATTTGTGAAACATTAACGTCCCTCCATGTAACTCTCATTTGACAAATCCATATAGACCATACGATCGAATATTAAATTAGAGGAGAAAAAATGATGCAGAGATATTTACTATCAAATAATTGAGGGCTGAATTTCAATTTTAGAGTCGAATTATCCATTAATTCGAATAGATGGATTAAAATAAATTTAAATATATTAAATAATTTACGATTTTCTTGTGAAATGTCACGTCCCAAAAATTAAAATTTTGAAAGTGGGGAACAATTATTGAAACCTATATAAGGATAATTTTCTATAATTTAAAGCTTTTAAAATAAAGAAAATATTATTATGTCAATAATTCATATAAAAAAAATAGATTTTTTAAGCAATTCAATAATACTCAAATTTTAAAAATAAAAAAAATTCAATACAAATTATTAATATTTTATTTCAAAAATACATTTGAAAATAAGGCCGTGATTTTTTTTTTTTTCAAAACTAATATTACCGTTTAAAAATATTAACTAAATTTCAGTAGTAATATTAAAAATAAAGATAATATATAAGGAATCGATAAACCGTTTAATTTAAGGGCATTAAAGCTTACTTTAAAATTTCACGGGTTTATTTTTTAAAAATTTAAGGTATTTTTGTAACACGACAAAAGTATTTTTTTAATTTTTTTTTAAAATTAAAAGATATTTTTTAATATTTTGTTTTGTTTTTTTTTATTTTAAATGTGAGTGAGAGTTAATGACAGAACCTGAGGGTTGTCGTTTTAGAGGAAAAGGCTGTGAGTGGGAACTGTGACAGAGGAGTAATATTATCATGATCTGATCCGATATTTTCTCTCTCTCTCTTGATTTCGGGGTGTTTAGAAAAAAGACAATCGGGAATGGTGGGGCCCACTGTTTACCCACTAAATTATTCCACTTCATTTGTTCAATATCTGACAGTTTTTTTTTTTAGCTGACGACGTTCCAACATTATTGGACAGCCGAAAACATACAAATCATACAAACATATCTTAATTCCCTTCCTCTCCATTTCCTTAATTTGAGAAAAATTTTATTTTGTGGTTAGCTAAAGTTGATTGTCCCCGACAATTATTAATCATATAACATGCTTCCATCAGGCTACGATCTCGAGATTCTCAAATTTAAGTATTTTTTTATTTCACGTAAGTATGGTACCAGATAAATCATTATTCGGTTGATTCACTCTTATCCGGTTACTTTGTTTTCGAGAGTTGAATAGCTAAGATGGTGTGGAGCTGATTGACTATTGCTCGGTTATATTGTTTTCAAGGGTTAAATAGATAAGGTGACGTGGAGTTGCTGGTAGATAAATCATTATTCGGTTGATTAACTCTTGCTTGGTGACATTATTTTGGAGGGTTAAATAGCTAAGTTGGCGTAGAGTCGTCTGGTAGATAAATCATTATTTAGCTGATTGACTCTTGCTCGACTACATTGTTTTCGAAGGTTAAGTAGCTAAGATGGCATGGAGACGTCTGGTAGATAAATCATTATTCAGTTGATTAACTCTGGCTTGGTGACATTATCTTGGAGGGTTAAATAGCTAAAATGGTGTGGAGTTGTCTAGTAGATAAATCATTATTTAAGCTACATTGCTTTGGAGGGTTAAATAGCTAAGATGACATGGAGTCTTCTGGTAGATAAATCATTATTTTGCTGATTGACTCTTGCTTGGTTACATTGCTGACATGGAGTCGTTTGGTAGATAAATCATTATTCGACTGATTAACGACTCTTGCTCAGTGACATTGTTTTCGAGGGTTAAATAGCTAACATGACGTGGAGTCGTCAGATAGGTAAATCATTATTCAGCTGATTGACTCTTGCTCGACTACATTGGTTTGAAGGGTGAAATAGCTAAGACGGTGTGGAGTCGTCCAATAGATGAAAGCATTATCCAACTGATTGACTCTTGCTCGGTTTCATAACTAAGATTGCGTGGAGTCACCTGGTCGATTCTCACTTTAGAATTTTCGATTAGAACACTAAGATGGGTTAAAATTGAGTAAGAAAAAGGTAAGGTGAGATGGTTGTGAGGGGGCATAGGATGCCTTAATGGTGAGCATAGAGGGAGGGAGATGGGTCCATGGGCAGCGCGAGTGGGTCGGGGATGATTGATTGCTGCGATGGGTCCTATAGTAAAGGTCCGGTCGCTGCAACTCCAACTGCTACTATAACTCTCCATCTGACTTCACCACTGCCCCATTCCACACAAGACAAACTCGCCTTTGTCCCACTTTGCATTTTAAGGTAGTTCTTTCTTTTTCTTTTCTTTTTTATTTATTTATTTTATTTATTTATTTATTTCCCAAAGCTAGAGTTTTACTTGGACCCTCCAAGATAAAGGAAGATGAGCCATTTGATTTGACATGTTGGGATGACGGAGGGTGATGGGATGAACCCAATTATTGGATGCATTGGTTACATACCAAAATTTGCATTCAACTTTGGGTATAGCGTGCATGTGGCCTCCAAACGAACTCCAATGAACTTAGTCTATGTTGGTCGAGCTGACGTCTTGGAGTTTGATCCAATCAATCCCTTGAAATCATGATCGAACTTGTGGAATCCCTTAGTTCGGATCAGCGTTATGGTTGAGCTAGCTGAGCTAGACGACTTTGAGGAGTCATCCTCATAAGCAACTAGTACACCTCTATGAGTTGGTGTAATTAACAGCTCAAGCTTCTAAGAGATATTGTCCTCCTTCCCTTTTTGGACTACCTTGAAGTTTTTTTCCTTTTGGACTTCCGTCCTCCTTGTTCCTCTAGGAGATATTGTCATCCTTGTTCCTCTAGGAGATATTGTCCTCCTTGTTCCTCTCTCCAACTAAGGTGGGATCTAACGATCCACCATTTGGGGACAGCGTACTCATTGGCACACCGCTCGATGTCTAGCTTTGATATCATCTAACGGCTCCAACCCACCACAAGCAGATATTGTTATCTTTGGGCTTTCCCCATCCTTAAGACCCGTATGCTAAAGATGAGTTTCCACATCTTTATAAAACTTCGTTCCCCTCTCCAACCGAAGAGAATCGGGTTTCCACTTCTTCCTTATAAGGCTTCATTCCACTCTCCAACTGAGGTAGAATCAGGCTTCCACTTCTTCCTTATAAGGCTTCATTCCCCTCTCCAACCAAGAGAGGATCTTACAGTCACCCCTCATTGTTGAGCTAGTCAGTCTCAAAGCATAGCCATCCCTGAGCAAAACCAACTCAACCCCTTCCATAGAATAGTATCACGAGCCAACTAGACATCTTTGGAGTGGATTAGACATTTTTACCATAGATCACTCAAGGAATGTTTACCATCTATATGCCCATTAATAACCATTAAATGTAGACCATTTATTCAATGAAAGGGCTTGTCGTAGGACCCATCACACTCCACCATTGTTGGCGGTTGAATCTCAGCCGTGGAATGTGGTGATGATGGAGATCTGAGATTGGTGATGGAGAAGTATGCTTTTGGTGAAAACATGATGACTTCCTAAATGGTGGGGGAGAGCTTGGTGGGCCCACCATCCTGAAAACGACATACAGTTTATTTTCTCCACCCAATTATTTGCTTACGTCCATTTTTTATATTTTAATATTTTATCAACCCACCCCACCCCACCCCCCGACTTTTTTCACCCCTTTTAACCGGTCCTTCTTCCGCCACGTGTCTATCCCTCTCACCACGTGGACTGTGGGTCCACTATCGACCCCACTTCACGGGCTGAGGATGTATTAAACCGACGTTTATCGATAATTCCGAAACAAGGGAAAGAGCGTGTGATGTGGTAATAATTCAATTAAATTAAATTAAAACTATACGATATTATTAAATATATGTCTCTCATGTGGGCCCCACTTCCGCCACGTATTCTGTTTGTTTGACTAACTCTAAGAGTCTTCAAATTTCCCAACATGGTTGATCAAATCTGATCATGTTAAATCGTACGGCTCCGAAGCCGTTTCCCTTCCCTTCCTTTTAGGTTTCTCATGCATGTGGGGAAGCTTTACTGTGAAGCTGACTTCACCAGATCATAACCCACAAAGTTTCCCATCTCATATCTAGAATTAGAAAGTTCCAACTCCGAACCGTCGTTTGAAGCCCACGCGCTTCCAGAAGTGCGTCAGCGTAATAACACATCTATTCTCATTTATTATTTTTTTGAAAAATCAATTATCATATGAAAATTAAAAAGTGTTCAGTAAATTTACATTTTAAACCTTCAAAAATAAATTAAGTCAAATGAAATTTATTTAAAATTTATTTAACCTAAATTTTAAAAAAATCGTATAAAATTATAATTCTTTTTATAAATAAACTCGAAATGAAAACGAAATGAATATCAAATTCACATGCAATTCAAGTGACCAAAAAAAACGCTATATAAATAATTCTCAAATCCGCGAACCACAACTCACCTTCCTGTGGGCTAATTTTCGTAGTTCTTTGACTAAAAAATGCTTTAACGTCGCCGGAGAGTCGTCGGAATGGCGAAAGGACGGAAGTTGGGTATAAACAGGAACGAGCGGTTTCTCGGGAGCTATGGAAATGGATACGGTCAAGGCTCCAATAAAGGAGATGAATCATCGGAGTTTCGTGAAGAGGATGTGTGGGCGATGATTGACAACAGCAATTCAACCAACGGTGAGGATGAGAGCATGACAGTAAGAAATCGCCGGAGATCAACGCCGCTTGATGAACAAAACGTCGGCGGAGTTTCGATTGCTTTTCAAGACTCCAACAGGACGGCACGTGGACGGCACTTAGCGGCATCGGCTCCGATGAACGTGCCGGACTGGAGCAAGATTCTGAGGGCGGAATCGGTGGAGTCACTACCGGAGATGGACGGAGGAGGTTACTACAACAACGATGAGACGGATATGGTGCCGCCGCACGAGTATTTGGCGAGGGAATACGCGAGGAGCCGGAATACTGCGGCGGCGACATCGGTTTTGGAGGGCGTCGGGAGGACTCTGAAAGGGAGAGATATGAGAAGGGTTCGGGATGCGGTTTGGAGTCAGACCGGGTTCGATGGTTAAATGAATTTAATATTTTTATTGGGGTAGTTTGGGCAGTGATTCGGACGAGTGGACTCACTGAACCGAGTCGACCGGTCCGAGTGAGCCCAAACATAATTCTTCTTCAGTCAAACTCTACGCTTCCAATATAATATTATTTCTTAGCTTCAAATAAATAATTTTAAATCAGAATATATTTTTATAATAAAAAAAGTACTAAAAACGACATTTTTGTTTTGGAAATGAGTCAAGGGTAAAACGGACATTATCCACGAGAGACTAGAGAAGAACAAACCAAAAATGCTTTTAATGGATGGCTACTGTAGATGGTGACACGTGGACAGCACATCCCACCTTAGCTGCAATTAACCAAAACTGGCCCCTTTCATGGGCTTTTTGGTGATTTCAACGTGATTGAGACCCATGGGCTATCCTTCACCCGTCTTTTCGCCCCGACATTAAGCCCATACCAATTTAATGTCTGTTTCGTTGAGCCAAGATGAACTCAAATGAATCGAATTAGGGTTTATGTTGATTGTTGAACAAGATTGGATTCAGTATTGATAGAAAAAACGGATTAGATAGAGATAGAAAAAGCTAAAATTCCATATGATCCATTAATATGGAGAGCAAGATGCAGAAATTTCTCTGGTTTTTCCTGGAGTTGTTTCAAATCAAGCGTTGAAAGAACGATACCGAATTAATGGAAGAAACCTTATAGAATAGGGAGAAAGATAGATTGATTGGATCCTGCTTCATCGAATTGAAAGCTAGATTGATTTCCAGATTTGAAAAGGTGAGTCGAAGAATTTTCGTAATCGGAGTACAGTGAATAAACTCAGTCCCTTAGATGTTCATAATGGATTGCGATCATATTCGCAAATCATTACAGGTCTGTTAGGCTCATCACTGCTTAAACACCACTTCGAATCGCAATTCATTTCAACAGGTGTGGAGATAAACAAAATGCATCAAGATCGACGATAGAATGGAAAATCGTGTAGTTACTCCCGTGATCTCAATTAGTACTGAACTGGAAGAGAATTTATTGAAACAGGATGTAACACAATCGATGTTGCTTCAAGGGAACGAGTCGAATGGGAACTGATTGAATCCACATTCGCCAGATGATGAAGCATCGAATCGGTAAAAATCAGAAACAATTCAAGCAAAATCAGAAAATCGTTCCAGAAATTTTCAAGAAAACAACTCACAGCCTTCCATCGAGAGGAAGCGAGGAGGATTTGCGTAAACACTTGCCGAGGAGGAAGATGATGGTTGTGAGGTGGACGGGGAGGCCATCGGGTCTTAAACAGCAGCGAGGCGGCGGAATCGCACCAAGAGGGTTTCGTTGTTGCCCTAATTTGCTAAAGGGCGTTCAAGGAGAGCGCAAAATCAGCCGTCTTGGGTCAATGGTGGGCCGGCCCAATCACTGGACTACGACATGTCGTCATTCACTTTTTTATTTTTATTTTTTTTTTAAATTTGGTTAGGCTTAATGTTTTATTATTAATTTAGTATTTTTCTTTTTATTTTTAATATATATATATATAATGAAAATTCATACGTAAATAATAAAAATTGAAGGACGAAAAGAATTAGTGTCTAAAGTTGGGCCAAGAGGGTTTCTTATGTCTTCTTTTTTCTTGTCGTCGGAGTTATTTCACAAAAACTTGTTATGGTAAAGAAGGGGAAACGAGCACACTTAGAAGAGCTTATTACAATAGAGAGTTGTATGATATGCTCGGAAATGATGAATCTCTCGAAGAAAAAATCCATTGATTCTCTTTTGATTGCTTGGGCTATCGGTGCGATGATTTGCTTCACGGGTGAAGTCTCTGGTTCAAGTTTAGGGTGACCCAACTACACAAATGAAAATATTTACCACCCATTTTTATTTTTTATTTTTTAAAATTAAACTTATTCATTGAATAATAATTTTTTTATTTTATTCAAAAACCGGTAAGTCAACGTAGACAGTGAAAATATTTGTTAAAACCATCACACCTAAAATATAAAGGGCAAAGGCGAATCTGTTCAAATGTTATGATGCATATGATAAACTAAACCGTAATAGAAAACTAAATATTTTTAAGACCGGGATTTTAATCTATTGTTAAAAACTATTTTGTTAGTGAAAGTACCATACTACCCATGCCAAACAGCCACCGTACTCAGATACTTAAGGAACAGCCTTGTCTTTTCATCCGAGGTGGAGTAGGAATCCAAGGTTAAGCTTAGTATTCCCCTGACACAAAAATAAAAAAAGAATAAAATAACTAAAAAAATAAATAAATTAAGCATTGCACGTGAGCTTCTTTTTTTTTTTCATCGGCCCCAACTACTTTTAATATTTGCACGTGTGCACACATTTTTTCTATAATTATTTCTATAATTATTTCATGTCTGTTCTGGAGCTCCAAAAAGTAAAAAGCTATTTTTTCTGACATGTTTAACATATTTTACTCATAAAATGAAAAAAAAACATTTTTTTTATTATTCATAGTTTCAAGTACTTATGTTCAACCCACAATAATAATAATAATAATAATAATAAAAAAGTATTTATTAGTCTTTTTTATTTCTATATTTGTGAAAATTTATATAACTACTTACCAATTAAATATTTTAAATGAATTTAATTTTACCCTGAATTACAAGTGATAAATATTTTGTATTAAATTTTAAAATTAAATTCATAAATGCTAACTTCTACTAATTATGTAATAATTTTTAAAATATATTTTTTTATTTTTTAAATTTGATCTAGAATTTATTTGTAGAATTGTGAAAAAAAAACACAATTTATAAAAATAAAAAGTAGTTTTTATTTATGTTTATTTGATACTGAACTTTTAAAAAATATTTGATATATTATTGAATTTTTAATTTTGTATTATGATTTTTATTTTTTAATTCACGAATCTGTTGGTAACCACGTAAACTTTAATTTTATATCTAATAAATATATTTATTTAAAAAAAATTATGTCAAAATTCTATTAGATATAAAATTGAAAAAATTTAGAGTTTATTAGACATAAATTTTAATTATATATAGATATAGTAAATGAATTATTTTTTAAAAAATGATACGTTCAAAGACACGAAATTAAAAAAATTAGTTTTATTAGACATAAAATTAAATTAATATTTAAATATAAAATATATATTAAAAAAATTTGTTTACTAATGTAACACTCCGAGATTTAGAATCCACATTTGGCACCTACTTAATACGAAAATTTTCAAGAGATCACTCAACATAAAATTATTCCAAACAAAACACGTTAAACCATGAAGTTATTATAATTGAGCTGCTCAGAAGGGAATTGTCTGCTTTGGTCTATTATGAATTGCCAGCTTTACGGTTCTAAAACACGTTTGCTAGGGAGAAGTTTCCACACCATTATAAGGAATTTTTCGTTCCTGTTTACAACCATAGGATTTCACAACGTTATTAGTACAAGTGATTTTCAATTATTTTAAATCTTTTTAGTTATCTTATTTTCAGAGTTGCTTTTATTTACACGTGGTGTCGATTCATTCATATACTTCTAACTTATTCGAATATTATAATTAGCGTCTTTTAAGATTTAAAAATATTCGAGTGATAAATTTGAAAATTAATAATATTATAAGTAAAAATAAGAATCCAAGAAAAGGGCATTGAAGTTAGAAATGAGAGCTGTCTCCTCTTTTTCTCTTAGGAGTTACGCCTCCAATAAGAATCCCCTTGCAATTACAGCTGTTTGCCAATTCTTTTAGTTTAATTTAAAAACCTTATTTAATTCACATAAATAAATAAATAAATACTTTATTTATTTATTAATTAATGGTAATCACGACCACTCTTACCCAAAGAACATATTCTTACTAGGTTCGACTAGATTCAATTCAATTGTTCGAATTAAAAAAAATTAAATCATAAATATTAAATTGGTTAATTCTTCCGCTATTGATTTAAAAATTTATTTTATTTTTAATAAAACTACAACTTTAATATATAAAACATTTATTTATTTTCTGACGTTCGTTTTAAAACTTATTATCTTCCATAAAAAAAAACTATGAAATTAAATAAAATCATAATAAATATTTGTATACATAATTGTATTAATATTTTTTTATTTTTTTATTTTAAGACTAACAATAATTTTGAATCGGGAAAACTCATGAATTTACTTGACTAAAAAAATTTAATTTATTAAATCCAATTCGAGTCTTAATCTGAATTGTATGAGTTGAGTTGGGATGAGTTGAATTGATCTGGTTCTTCTGTTTGTCTCCCTTATTTTTTTCGGAAAAATAAATTCATACTAAATCGCCGTATGGTTGATCGACGATTACTAGTGATTTTAGCTTCATGTAGGCGAGTTGCAGTCTACCATTCGAACTGAGGACGAGTTTTTGGAGTTAGCTCACCTTCACATTATCATGACCTTTTGTCCTGCCACTGTAACACGTGTGTTGTCTAGGGCATAAGGGGCATGATGACTTGACATCATTCTCACCTTCCTTCGACTTGTCAACAATCTGCTCAGGATTCTGACCTGAACGGTTGGCAACTAAACACGAGGGTTGCGTTCGTAGCGGGACTTAACTCAACATCTTATGCACGAGCTGATGACAACCATGCACCACCTATATCCACGTTCGTGAAGTATTTATTGATTGATGTTTTGACAACTCGTACCAAAAACACATAAACATCAATAAGATTGGTATGAAATTTAATAGAATAAGATATAAAATTTAATATAAAGTATTTTATTAATAGGCGTGGAAAGTAGTGATGTTTTTGTTTTCTCTTTTTCTTTTCGAAGGCAGCGAATGAATTTTTGGCATTTTGATACGCAATTTGTGACGAGAGAATAATGCCACTGCACATGCTGTTGCATGTTAGATAAAACCTTTGTTTTTTCTTTATTTAGATTCACACGTTTACATTTAATTTCCCTTTGACCATTTGACAAACACGTCGAATGGATTAGCTAATTCTTAGACGTCAATTTTCTAGGAAGTGGCACAGATTCAGTTGGCCACTCTCCACCCATTTTTAGGATAGGTTGTATTTAAATAGGAAATCTGTTTACAAGATTTCACTACCGGATTTTGAAGAGCAGTCAAAGTTTCAGTCCTTCTCTCTCTCTTATTTTACGCATTTTATCTTTCCTCCAACAACCTCCTGTCGACAATATCCTCTCGGTGATTTCCCTGGCCAATTATCGAAATTCAACAAGTGGTATCAGAGCCTCGTTGAAGCAATCGGTAGTATACCATCACAGAAGAGCCAACCTATCAACAATCAAGTTGAATAGCTCAAGTGGTTAGAGCGTCGACCTAACAACACACAGGTCTCAGGTTCGAGTAGAAGAAAATGCAAAGTGCAAAAATAAATACATCGTCGTGGGGTCCATCTCGAGCAGGCTCGCTCACTCCTCCACGTCGCCAAGTGCTGGCATCTCCATCACCACCACGAAGAGGTCGTGGCCGACGCCGTGATGACGGGCGTCGAGGTGTCGTTGAGCGAGTGATCAGGGAGACAACGACTGCCGTCGTTCAGTACCCGATGTTGACAAGGTCCAACTACAACGAGTGGGCCTTGTTGATGCGCGTCAACCTACAGGCGCATGGGTTATGGCACGCTGTCGAGCCAGAGGAAGGAGAAACAATCGAGTACCGGGAGGATCGGCTGGCGTTCGCCGCCATATTACGATCTGTGCCCCCAGAGATGTTGGCATCTCTCTCCACCAAGCGCACCGCGCAATCGGCCTGGGAAGGAATTAAATCCCGTCGAGTCCGGTGTACAGCGAGTGCGGGAATCCAACATTGAGCAGCTGCGGAAGGAGCTCTCGGGGATCTCCTTTAAGGACGGCGAATCCGTCGATGATTTTTCAATGCGAATCACGGGGCTCGCCAACAGCATCACCACACTCGGTGGCAGCATCAACGAGACAGAAATCGTGAAGAAGATGCTGCAGGTCGTCCCCGATCACCTCGAGCAAGTTGCAATTTCAATCGAGACTTTGCTTGACGTGAATGACCTAACGGTGGAAGAGGTGACCGGAAGACTGCGTAACGTCGAGCAGCGGAAGAAAAATACCATTTCAGCTGTCGACAAGGAGGGTCGTCTACTCCTCACTGAGGAGGAATGGCTTGCACGCCTAAAGCTCCGTGATGACACCGGCGAGAGCAATGGGCCCTCCAGCCGCAAAGGCGGTAAGAAGCCGTGGAAATCTCGATGGCGCATGCACAGGAAAGAGGCGGATCAAAAGAAGGAGGAGTCGACTGATGACGGGCCAATCCAGTGCTCGTACTGTGGGAAGAGAGGTCACCTGAGCAAGAATTGCTGGAGCAAGCTCAGGAACAAGGAGACGGCCGAAAAGGCCCATGTGGCTCAATCCGAGGAGGATGAGCCGGCCCTTTTCATGGTGACTGCATCAGTCCTACCTGACCTCGAACCCGAGGAAGAGCTCCCCAAATCCACAGAGGTAATCGACGACGGCATAACTGCTCCGGTGAACGTCGAACCCGAGGAAGAACTCCCCAAATCCACAGAGGTAATCGACGACGGCATAACTGCTCCGGTGAACGTCGAACCCGAGGAAGAACTCCAACTGTGCATAACAAATGCACCTGGGGAGCCAATTCGACTAAAGGAGGAGCGAGTGCTCGCTCAAATCGGTGAAAGAGGCAAGCAGCAAGAGCACCGGCGATGGGTCCTCGACACGGGGGCATCAAACCATATGACCGGGGCCAAGTCTGCGTTCTCTGAGCTTGACTCGGGGATTCGCGGGACGGTGAAATTCGGCGATGGCTCCGTCGTCGAGATCGAAGGGCACGGTACCATCCTATTCGTCGGCAAGGGAGGCAATCATCACAAGCTGACCGGCGTCTACTTCATCCCGAGACTCAAGGCTAATATTGTGAGCCTGGGTCAACTCGATAAGGCCGGCTGCCACATTTCCATCAAACGCGGGCTACTTAGGATCCGCGATGATCGACGACGGTTGCTCACGCAAGTTCGGTGCACGACAAATTGCCTTTACATCCTAAAGCTAGAGATAGAGCAACCAGTCAACTTCTCGGCCAGGTACCGGAAGATGGAAGACCTATTAGGAAGAGGTGAACCACCTGGACTGGGGGCGCGCCAACTCGAAGAAGAGGCGGCCGAACAAGACGTGGAGTCTGGAGGACATGCCGCCAGGGACACCGAGCCATAGGGCTCAAAACGGAGTTCAAACGAAACGAAATAAGGCAAGGCAGATATAACAAAACACGTCGAATGGATTAGCTAATTCTTAGACGTCAATTTTCTAGGAAGTGGCACAGATTCAGTTGGCCACTCTCCACCCATTTTTAGGATAGGTTGTATTTAAAGGAAATCTGTTTACAAGATTTCACTACCGGATTTTGAAGAGCAGTCAAAGTTTCAGTCCTTCTCTCTCTCTTATTTTACGCATTTTATCTTTCCTCCAATAACCTCCTGTCGACAATATCCTCTCGGTGATTTCCCTGGCCAATTATCGAAATTCAACATTGCATGCCATTTACTTCCCTCTCTGTAGGATTCATCGGCGATTCATAGGCGGTTCATCACTCATCACTACCACTGATTTCCCCCCTTTTTCCTCTTTTGAATGATCTGAGATAGTGTAAATTCATCTTTATCCAATTGATTTCTACTGCATTTTGATTCTATTTGAAGTTTAATTCATCTTCTGAGACGTTTCTCCAGCAATTCGATGGTTTTTGTAGATCGGTTTCTTTGATTTAGCATTTTAGTTCATTTTAGGGATTTTTTTTTTTTTTTTTTTTTTTTTTTTTT